ACACTCTCTCCACTGAGCCAAACCGGCCAGGGCTCTGTGCTATCTGTCTTATAAGGACACTGGTTATTGGAGTCAGGTCGCATGCGAGTCTAGGTGGCCTCATCTTCACTAATGACACACACACACACACACACACATACACACACACACACACCACACACACACACACACACACGCACGCACGCGAACTGTCCCACCAAATGTGGGCAGCGTCGAACAGTGGGCATCTAGGTGAAGGGCATCTACATGGAGGGCTTTTAGGTGAAGTGCTCTGACAATTTTTGCAACATTTCTATCCATTTGAAAGTTTTCAGAATAAAATGTTGGGAGAAACATGTTTTAAACAGCTGTCTTGCCCTAGCCGGTTTGGCTCAGTGGATAGAGCGTCGGCCTGCAGACTCAAGGGTCCCGGGTTCGATTCCGGTCAGGGGCATGTACCTTGGTTGCGGGCACATACCGAGTGGGGAGTGTGCAGGAGGCAGCTGATCAATGTTTCTCTCTCATTGATGTTTCTAACTCTCTGTCCCTCTCCCTTCCTCTCTGTAAAAAATCAATAAAATATATTTTAAAAAATAAAAAAAAAATAAACAGCTGTCTTAGGAGGCTGGGAGCAAAGACCAGGAGTCTGGTGAAAGTCGGGGGAGGGGTGACCGCTCAGAGGGTCCCGATCCTTCTGCATCCAACTAGGGGTTCCTGTTCACAGGGAGCTTCACCTCTGGGGCTCAGTTCATTTACATCTACGTTTACTTCCCAGACCTTTGCTCAACTGGCCCTCAAGTTTCTGTGCAGATAGAAGACAGACTCTGCGTCCCCTCATCTGGGCATAAAGGAGTCCCGTTCTGTGAAATCCGGGATTTCGGTGACTTCTCTGGCCTCACTGACGGGTTTGTGCCCCTCGCCCCGCCCTACGACCCCAAGGAGCGCTTTACGGCGTCAGCAGTCCAACCTGAGAAGGTTCGCGTGGGATTGTCTTTCTCTGATAAGCTCTGGGAGCGCAGGGGGATTCTGTGTCGATAGATTTGCTTCTCCTTTGGGGGATGGAAGGGGCAAAGTGAATGTCTCGGGTTCAAAGCCGGCCCCTCCAATAGTCCTCCTGTCTCCAGCCCCACTTCTCGCTCTGGCCCCGCACACTTGCTGGAACGGCGCTCAGAGCCTGTCCCGGCTCCCACAGGGGTGAGTCACCCACTTCCCTGGGGCTCTGCTCCATTTCATCTGCCACCACCCGCCCACCTGCAGAAACGAACCCAAATCTCTCACCTGCAGGTGCCCCGCCTTTGCTTTTTGTTCAATCTGTACTTTACCATCATTAGCTCAGAAGGGGAGCCCCCAGTGGCATGTTGTGGACTGAATTATGTCCCCACAAAAGATACGGTGAAGTCCTCATCGATGAACGTGAACTTATCTGGATATAGGGTCTTTGCAAGAGGCAATCGAGTGAGGTGAGGTCATTCGGGTGGGCCCTGATCCAATATGCCCTGGGTCCTAATAAGAAGAGGAGAGAGGCGCCGAGACCGACAGCCTGGGGGGAAGACCTTGTGAAGACACAGAGGGGAAGGCCATGAGACCATGGAGCAGAGATGGGAGTGATGCTGCCACAAGCCAAGGACTGCTGACAACCACCGAGTTTGGGAGAGGCATGGAAGAATCTTCCTCTGGAGGCTGCAGAGGGAGCACAGCCCTGCCAACACCTTGAGCCTGGACTTCGAGTCCTCAGGACTGTGACAGCAAACATCTCTGCTGCTTTAAGCCGCCCAGGGCCCGGGCTTTGTTACAGCAGCCCGAGGACACCGACACACGGTGATCTCGAGGAAGACTGCAGCCGGGTGTCGGGAGGAGGAGGGCCCTCCCTGACGCATGACAGGAGCTATATTTGGAACACCCTCTCACCAGAACATTCCAAGATGGTCCAGGTGACTCTCTCAGGATGAGAGAAATTAACCAGTTTTGAGCTTCTACTTTTAGCAGTTGCCAGCCCGTCTCATCTTTGCTCACCGTATTGGTGGGGTCAGTTGGATCCAAGATGACTGGCCTATGAATTCCATTAGATTATAAAAAAAAAAAATCAGTTGGGCTGCCTGTGGGAAGGGAAATCAGCTTTAGGGAGAGAGGCCTAGACTGGGCTTCTGGGAAGTCCTGTGGTTTCTCTCAATTGCTGAGGTGCTTTGCGGCCAGCCTCTCTGGTCCTGTGCTCTCTGGTTGACAGAGAGAGGCATTCTATTAATCTATATATAAAAGCCAAAGCAACCATTACAACCGGTCGACTGGTCAGCGTGACGACGCACTGACCACTAGGGGGCAGACACTCAACGCAGGAGCTGCCGCCTGGTGGTCAGTGCACTCCCACAGACAATCTACCATGACCAGCAACCTCCCGCGGTCTCTTTCTCCAGCTGGCCGGTCCTGATCTACTCCGATCAGCCCCAATTGGCCCTGATCGCTGGCCAGGCCCAGGGACCCCACCTGTGCACGAATTTGTGCACCAGGCCTCTAGTCATGTAATAAGATGGCCTCTTCCTGTGGATCTTTCTTCTCTCTTAGCCTCTGCCTTCTGTAAAGGGAAATACCTCGCAAGGGTTTGTCTGGAGCACAAAATGTGATGATGGTTTGTAGTGTGAATGAAAGCATGGGTCAGGGTTCCTCCCTCAGACCTCTCCTCGCATCCCTGCCCAGTGCTGCTGGCATCTGTGTGGCACACCCCTGGCTGGAAGGGACAGGGGTGAGTGCTCATTCTAAAGGGGCACAGTCTGGCACGCAGATGGAGAGGGAAAGAGAGGGCCACGGAAGTTGGTACCTTGATGATCGGATCTGGTTCAGCATGACGTTCCGGACGGTCTCATCCTCAAAGTTGTAGTTGACTGTCCAATAGACACACAGCTGCTCCTGCTTCTCGATGAGCTCTAGGACAGTTCTGAGGCCTTGAACTATGTCAAAGTCTTCCTCTCTACACCCCTCTTCCCAGGCATAGACGGTAAGCAGCTCTAGAGCATACGAGGGTGGCAGGGATTGACGCTCCCACCGTTTCTGGCACTGCGGGAGAAGAATGGGGCAGCAGCTAACTTAGAGACCCAGTTCTTCCCATGTCAGGGCTCTGAAATCAAGAAACCAGCTCGGCCGGTGTGGCTCAGTGGTTGAACGTCGACCCCATGAATCAGGAGGTCACGGTTCAATTTCCAGTCAGGGCACAGACCCCGGTTTCAGGCTCGGTCACTGGGTGGGGTATGTGCGGGAAGCATCTAATAGGTGTTTCTCTCTCTCTCTTCCTTCCTTTCTTTCTAAATCAATAGAAACATATTTAAAAATAAATCTTAAGTCAAACCATTGTAAGAGAAGGCCCATCTGTATTTGGCAGTATTCCCTAAAGTTAAATATGTACCTATTCCTCATTGTGGACACACACATGCATACATATATGCCATGTGTATATGTATGCGCACACACATATGTTTTCATATACATATACTTTATAACTCAGCAGTTCCATGCCTGCATATTTACTCAAGAAAAAGGAGTGCTTGCCCAGCCAGTGTGACTCTGGTTGAGCATTGATCTATGAACCAAGAAGTTCAATTCCTGGTCAGGGCACAAGCCCGGGCTGCGGGCTCAATCCCCAGTAGGGGGCATGCAGGAGGCAGCTGATCAAATGATTCTCTCTTAGTATTGATGTTTCTAGCTCTCCTTCTCCCCTCCTCTCTGAAATCAATAAAAGAAAATGTATATTTTATTTTTTATTTTTTAATATTTTTTTTTTATTGATTTTTTACAGAGAGGAAGGGAGAGGGATAGAGAGTTAGAAACATCGATGAGCGAGAAACATCGACCAGCTGCCTCCTGCACACCTCCCACTGGGGATGTGCCTGCAACCAAGGTACATGCCCTTGACCGGAATCGAACCTGGGACCCTTGAGTCCGCAGGCCGACGCTCTATCCACCGAGCCAAACCGGTTTTGGCAGAAAATGTATATTTTAAAGAGGAGTCTCAAATTTACAAAAACACATGCAGGGAACACCCATAGTCACATAATTCATAATAGCCCCAATTTGGAAATGGCCCAGATGTCCATCAGCAGAGGAGTGGGTCAATGTGTGGATAGTAATACAATGGAATATTACAAAACAATGAAAAAATGACAACCACACGCACCAACATGGACAAATCTCTCAGACATAACGTTGAACAGAAGACAGCAGACACAACGTACATACAGTCAGACTCCATTCATATCAAGTTGAAAAGCAAGCAAAATGAGTTTGTGGTGACAGCTATTAGGTTAGTGGGCTGTTTGGGGGAGTGTTCACTGGGAGTGGGCTTGAGGCCACTCCCTGAGTTCTGCTTAAAACAATATAAAACGCATCGAGCTGTATACCTAAGATTGTTGTCCTTTGCTGGATTGCAAGTTATTGTGACCCAAAGGAAATGGACGGCAGCCAGAGGTAATGCAAGATGAAACTGACCTGTTGATGCCAGGCCTTTACCAAGAGGATCAAATCCTTCAGCTTCCTGGGATGGTTGTTAAAAAAATTCTGCTGGAGTTTTGTGAAGCAGACAGAGAATCTACCGGGGCTGGCTTTTGCCTGGTCCAAGGCTCTTTTGAGGTCTCGATAGGTCGAGGGGCTGGGCTTGCCGCTCAAGTCTGGGAGGAAAGAGAAGAAGGACTTGGAAGGTTGGGTGTGGTTTGGTAGCAAACTGCCTCCTCTGGCAGAGGCCAGGTCTGTTTGCTTAAAAGGTGCGGGGTGGCTGGCCCTGCTCGGTGACAAATGAAGTCTAAAAGGACCATCATGCAAATGCTATGGCGCTGGCTGAAGACAAGACCAGTGAGAGCAAACAGAGGAAAGGAGAAACGATTGTAAATGAAAAAAGAAGGAGTTCCAAATGAGTGGGGGAAAGACGGTTTCTTTGAAAAATGGTATTGGCCTACACCTGGAAGAAAATGAAGTTTATATATCACATACAGTATATCCCGCTAGTGAGCCCATCCAGTGAGCGCTGCAGTTCAGGGTCAAGGGTACAGGCACCTTGAGGAGGCAGGTGCAGGCAGAGCCCCGGAGGCTGGGATGGCTGCCGGGTGGCAGGTGCACTCCCCGCAGCACTGAGCCTGTGAGGTCGGGTGATGCAGGGCAGTGGCTCTCAGACTGGGGTGCCAATCAGAATCCTGCTGCACAGCTAATATGAACACAGGCTCAGGAGCCTCCTGTGTGAATGAGGCAGGTGAGTGGATTAAACAAATGTGGTACATCTACACAATGGAATACTACGCTGCTATAAAAAAGGAGGAACTTCTACCACTTGCAACAGCATGGATGGAACTGGAGAGCATTATGCTAAGCGAAATAAGCCAGTCGGAGAAAGACAACAATCACATAATCTCACTCATATGTGGAATATAATGATCAACATAATTTGATGAACAAGAATAGATCCAGAGACAAATGGCAGGGAAGGGGGGATTAGAGAGCAACCAAAGGACTTGTATGCATGCATCTTAGCATAGCCAATGGACACAGACACTGGGGTGGTGGGGGCTTGCCCGGGGTGGGAATGGCTTGTGGGGGGGGGGTCGTCAAGTGGGGAAAAAGGAGACATATGTAAAACTTTAGTCAATAAATAAATTTAAAAAAAAGCCAATGAGGAGCCCCAACTGGTTTTGCTCAGTGGATAGAGCGTCAGTCTGCAGACCAAAGGGTCCTGGGTTTGATTCCGGTCAAGGGCACGTACCTTGGTTGCAGGCTCCTCCCCAGCCCAGGCCCTGGTCAGGGCTCGTGCAGGACGCAACCAATCAATGTGTTTCTCTCACATCGAAGTTTCTCTCTGTCTCTCCCCCCTCCCTTCCACTCTCCCTAAAAATCAATGGAAAAATATCCTCGGGTGAGGACTAACAACAACAACAAAAAGCCAATGAGGAGATGGGAAGTCCTAGAGAAGAGAGAAAACCAGGGTAGGAGGGACTTCCTCTCTTGAAGGCCTCCACTTCGGAAAGCACCAAAGGTACCTATCCACCATCCCTCTCTTGGACTTTGCTCTCTCAACACACCCCTCAAGACCCACCCCCACCCCCACATACCCCAAGGGCTCACCCAGAGCATCAAAGGCGGGCAGCACGTCAAAAGTGACGCTCTGCCATTGTGTGGACAGCAGGATGGTGAGGCCACCATAGGACCTCTGCATCTCCATCTTGGCTGTCAGCTTCCTTTCGAGCTGACAAGCTGTCAGCCGCTCCCAGATTTTGTCGAGGATTGCATGTTGGTTTTCCTTCTGGTCCTGGAATTTTTCAAGGTCACTGATGAAGATGACAAGGGTACCATCGGAGTTGCCCTTTAAGACCGTTTTCCGGCCATAGGAGCCACCCTGCCAGCAACAGAGAAGCAGGTGTGAGAGTCAGGAGCCTTTGGGGGTCACGGCACTCCCCAGGAGGCAGTAGTCTTACTTAACTTGAGAAAGCGCCCCAAATGTCACCATAGTCTTAAAGTTGAGAGGCAGGCGTCCACTGGTCCCCCCAAAGACCAGGGTGCCCATAGCAATACTCTTCATACTAGCCCCAACCTGGAGGAAACTCCTGTGGATAAATGCGGTGCACACCACCTGCCCACACGACAGACATTTCCTGAACAGGGTGCCCACACGACAGACATTTCCTGAACAGGGTGGGTCAAAGAGACCAGACACGAAAGCCACACAGGGCGTGGACTCATTTATCCAGGGTGACCAACGGGTCCCGTGTACCCAGTGTTAGCGTCGAAAGACCCTCGTCCCAGAAAACCCCTCGGCCCCAGGCAAACTGGGATGCATGGCCCCCTTACATGCAGACGAAGTTAAAAACCGGCAGAATGATCTCTGCCGTCGGAGGCAGGAGGGCGCTGCCCTGGGTGAGGGCGGTGACAGGACAGGGAGTGCAGGGGCCCTCGGGGGCTGGGAATGTTTATTTATTTATTTTTAAAATTTATTTCTTTATTGAGGAAGGGAGAAGGAGAGAGAGAAACATCAATGATGAGAGAGAATCATGGATCGGCTGCCTCCTGCACGCCCCCCACTGGGGACCAAACCCACAACCCAGGCATGTGCCCCAGGCCGGAATCGAACCCGGGACCCTTCAATCCGCAGGCTGGTGCTCTATCCACTCAGCCAAGCCGGCCAGGGCGGGGCTGGGAATGTTTTGCTTCTCGAGCTGGGTGTAGCTTACATATCTCCGTTGCTCGTGGCAATCCAAACAGGCTGCATACTTAGCTCTGTGCGTTTATCTTTTTGTACGTTTATTTTAATTAGAATAAGTCAATTAATATTGAGAGGCAGGATGGTGCTATTAAATAACTTCCCTGTGCCTCAGTTTCCTCCTCTGGGCCAAGGCAGGAGACACCAGTATCCAAGTGTCTTTCCTGCTGGGGCTAGTGGGTGTGTGTGACGGCAGAGGCGAGGTAGCCCGCGGCTGCAGAGAAGTGAGTCTCCAGCGCCGGAGAGCATGGCGGTGGGCGTGGGGCTCTCCAACCCCCTCCCTGCCCTAGGGTCCTGGCACCTTCCCAGCCCCCTTTCCTCCCCGAAGGCCCAGGATCTTTAGCCTCAGCCCTGGGGTTTGTGCCCATAGCACCAACCATTTCTAACTGACGAGAGCTCCCACCCCCCACTTGCTGGAAATGCCACCACCGAGCAACTTTTGGGTAGTTTCACCGAAGTCCTTTAGCCTCCGTTTACTGCTCTGTAAATGGGAAGGATAGAACAATAGCAGGGAGTAATCGCAGCTAATTTACTGAACACGAACCATGTACCAGGCCTTGTACTAAGAACGTTATATGCTCAAACCTCACAACACTTTCAGATGGGTATTGTTCCTCTCCCATTTTATAGATTCGGAGACTGCAGCACAGAGAGGTTAAGCAACCTGCCCCGGGTCACACAGTAATAAGGGGCAGAGCGGACTTCAGAGTCTGTGCTCCTAAACTCCAAACTATCTCCCCTCCTCTCTCCGAGGGTGGGGCGGACAGGACGATGTGTGGTGCCCCCAGGGCCTGGCACACAGTAGGCGCTCAGCACCAAGTCACTCCGACTTCCGATAACCAGGAGCCCCGACCCCGGCCCTCCACTCACTTTGGCGACATCTATCACCGTGGGAGGCTCCGTGGCTTCCTGCAGGGCGGCACAGATGGTGTCCACAGCCTCATCGATCTGTCTCTGACAGTCTTCCGTCGGCCTCAGTGAGGTCTGGATATACTCATCCAGTTTCTGAGCAGGTACCGAGTACACCGTTTCTGGGCAGGTGCCGGATAGCCAGCTGCCCATTGCTGCTGCTGGCTGCCTGCCGGGGCGACAGCTCACGGCAGAGCAGGAGGCAGAGGAGGAAGAGGATCTCTGGGCTGAGAGCTTGGAAGCTGGGAAGAGCCAGGAAACTGAAACTGACCAGCGTTCTCAGCTGACTTCCTCAATCCAGAGCTCTGCCCGCCCCTCAGCTCAACCTGCCCCTCAGCTGCTCCCGGGGAGGCGTCCTCCTGGAGAAACGCGCAGCTGCTGGAGCTGGATGCGCGCTAGACCTGCGCCCTTGAGCACGCCCCTGCCTCTTTGGGCCTCGACTTCCCTCTTTGTGAAATGGGGACAGCAGTGGCGCCTCTCTTATTGGGCGAATGCAGGAATGAAATAGTACCTGCCAAGCGCTTAGCACAGGGCCGGGCGGGTCGCCACTGCTATAGAAGTGTTTGCTAAGCAAATAAAATTTTTCAGTGGCAGAGTTCTTCCTTGAAGCCCCTTTCTCCTTCTTCCTGTTCCCAGGGACCTGAGAAGTCAGACTCCATGAGAGCGGCAAGGAGAGAGACTCAGAGGTGACGGACTTGCTGGGGGACACACAGCGAGACGAGGGCTGAGCTGGGCTCAGCGTGCTCGGTGGGTGGGAGCGTCCGTGGGCCCAGTTCCGCAGCATCCGTGGAAACCCGCACGGCCTCATCAGCCACTTCCCCCACCCAGCAAGGACGGGAACAAGCTCAGAGAAGCACACGGGTCGGAGGGGAGACAGATGTGCAACTCCCGCCCGGAGCTATGAAAACGAAACTCCCAGAGGCCTCGAGTGGCTGCCTCAGAAGCAAACATCCCCAAGGTGTGGGTTCTTCACCCCCATGGCAGTCCCTCTCTGCCATGAGGATTCATTTCATATGTCGACTTGGCTGGGCCAAGGTACCCAAATATTTGGTCAAACATTATTCTAGATCTTTCTGGGAAGGTACTTTAAAGATGAGACTGACATTTAGACCAGTGGACTTTGAATAAAGCCGACCACTCTCTAGTATGTGGGTGGGCCTCGTCTAATCAGTTGAGGGCCTGTATGTAAAAAAGACTGACTTCCCTCAAGGAAGCGGGGGGGGGGGGGGATCCCACCAGCAGATGCCTTCAGCCTGGAGCTGCCTCAGCTCCTCCCTGGGCCGCCCTCCTTGCAGAATTTGGACTTGACAACTTCCACAACAGCACGAGCCAGTTCCTTAAAAGAAATCTCTAGATCTACCTCTGTCTATCCTATTGGTTCTTTTTTTTTCTCGTAGAACTTTGACTATTACACCTGTCCATTCAAGGTCCTTCCTTGCCCTTGTCTGACTTTCACTGTAACACTTAGAGGTCAGCTGGGCAGGGGTGATAAGGCTCCCTTTTTAGGTAAAAATGTGGAGGCTCAGAGAGGTGGAAACACTTGCCCAAGGTCACACAGCTAGTAGATTGTCTGGCTGGGCTCTAACCCCACTCTACCTGATTCCAAAGTCCATGCTTTTTTTTATTTTTTAAAGATTTGATTCTGAAATAATTTGAAATACTGAGAAAATGTGTGGGGTGAGTACAAAGAACTCCCTCTTCTGCCCTCACCCGGAATAGTTCACATTTGCCCTTATTCTGTATGCACGTCTTATCAGCAGTCTCATTATGGAGCCATCTGAGAGCATGTTGCAGATATTATGCCCCTTTGCTCTTTTTTGTTTAAAATCTTTGGTTTTTTGAGCAGATTTAGGTTCACAGCAAAATTGGGCAGAAGGCCCAGCGATGTCCTATGGTCTCCCTGCCCCACACATGCACAGCCTCCCGACCAAGGTGGGGCATTTGTTACAACCGATGACTCTACGTGGACACATCATAATCACCCAGACCCTTCCCTCTGAGATCCTTCCATCTGTATCCCCTAAGAACCGGGCTGCTTCCTCTCCGCCTCCCGGGCCGCCCCTCTGGGAGGGACCACGCCCTCACCCACTCAATAGACATTCACGGTGCCTGTGCTGGGAATGCGGTCCCGGACGCTGGCCCCGGCCCTGGGCCTCCACTCCTCCCCGTGCTACCCGGGGTGGGCAGCCAGATGCTCACTTCTCAGACCCCCTGTAGCCAGATCCAGGCCGTAATTTTGTTTATTTTAAAGGAGAGACACAGAAGCACCCCCTGCAGCCCTGGTGGCCCAGTCCTGCGGGATGTGTGTGATTGTGGGAGTCCACGTCCCTGGTCTGGACCCCAGCTTTGTCGGGGAGAGGCGGTGGGCAGAGCAGCAGCAGCTTCCTCTGATTCAGCCGCGGTGATCCAATAACGAAACTAGCACCCAGGTGGCCCCAGCCTCCTTCCGCCGGTCCAGGGTTGGACGGAATCCCTTCCCACTTCCGATTCCGGAGTGCTTTCTGTTTTCCGTGCTGGCCCTGGACTGAGAGGGACACTGTGACCGCACTGGAGGTCAGGAGTGCCCCCTGCATGCGCCGGGTGGGTTTGCTCTGGAGGCAGAGGCAGGCTGGCACTCTCACTAGGGCACTGGCTCACATGTAGGCTCTGGGCATGGAGGATCCCCCTGGTGGCATTGTAGCAGGGCAGAAAAAAGACAGGAACTTGGTAAAAAACCAGAAAGGAAGTATGGCATGACATTAAGATGTGCAAACTGGGGGGAGGAGCGAAACGGGACCAAAAGGAGGCCTCCAACGAAAAGGCATCCGGGGAAGTGTCCAAGGACAGGGACCGCATGGCATGCACGTCCCACTCCCTCTGTCTGTGTCTGTGGCAGACATAAGCAGCCGATCCCGGCATGCGGTCCTTCTAGCAGCTGAGCTCAGAAAGCTTCTCAGTAGCCGAGACACATACAGACTGTAGGTCTCTGAGCACTTCTTCCTGTACGCAGGCCAGGCGTTGCTAATCCATCACGGCACTCGTGCCACTACTTTCCTCTAGTGCATCCAGGGCAGACATCACTAATTGATTAGGTCACTCCTCGCGGCTAGGCATCCATTCTTCAAAATCCTTTAACACGTAGGGCTCCGGACAGCCACAACCAACTGAGGGTGGCCGACAAATGAGATGAAAACTCTACCATCCCTGTGAGAAGTTCTTCGATGAGGGAAGGAGGAGCAGCCGCTGGGAGGTCAGAGATGAGTGTCAGGAGGAAGGATGCGAGCTGGTGTGGACGGGGAGAGAGATGTCGGGGAGGGGAGGAGGACATTCTCGCAGGGGCAGATGCAGTGAGACCAGAGGGTCACGAGGGTGATGAGGAAGCTGGAAACCCAGGGAGGTGCCCACCCACGCAAGCTGGACTCCAGCGTGTAGGCCGCGGAGGCAGGGCAGTGCCCATTGGATACAAGGGGGGATTCAATGGGCTGGGTGAGCAGAGTGGGCTGCGGGGAAGAGAGCTGAGAGGGAGGCAAGGATGTCCGCTGGGAGGCTGGACTGGATCTCTCTCTCTCTCTCTCTCAATACGCGCGCACGCACACAGACACACAGACACACACACACACACATCTGGCATGTGACCCTGAGTCTCCCCACATGGAGGGCTGGTGTCCATCTGTCCCTCTGGCAGGACCACTGATTTTCCGGGCTTCACACAGCGGCCTGGGAAAGATGACAGAATATGTTGTTACCTCTAACCTTCCTAGAGACAATGGGAACGGACAGGACATGGAGGCGCGGGGGCACCTCTGGGCCATGACTGGGCCCTGCCCCTTTGGGGGGAATCATGCCCTTCCCCCGACCACACTGCCCCCCAACAAAGATGCTCCCTGCTGTCCCCCAGCTCTCTCACCCTCACGGGCCACGGCTGGATGGGGGTGCCGTCTCTGCCGATGCAGCACAGGGAGGATATGCAGGCTGCGGCTTCCGTGGCCAGCAGGTCCCAGCGGGCATTGGGGCCCAGGTTGCCTGTCGGGTCTGCCGGATCCAGGATGATGGGCCTGCAATTCCCACCCAAGGTCAGTCCTCTTCCCGGCAACATCTGGGTATCTACTTGCGGGATTGCTTGAACTGTTCTCCCCCTCACCCAACGCTTTGCAGGGGGCAGGGGCAGGGCCCAGAGACTCCTCTGGGCTCCAGGCACACACTTGAGGGCAGATTGGAGAAGAAGCTACACACGAGCCCCTTCTGCCTTCTGTATCCAGGACAGACATTACTAATCAATCTCAGAGCTCAGGCCATGCGTGCCCCACCTGCATGGAAAGCAGGCATTGTTACTCAACCACAGCGCTGGTTCCATCACTCTCCCCCATCCGTGGCCACTAACTGAGGAGGTCACCCTTTTCAGCGGAGCTCATTCACAGCCTCAGGGTCTTTATCAACACATCACTCTCCGCAGCCATTACCCACGGACTGGAAATACATCACCAAGTTGTGAAAGCGTCTTTGTTATCTCTGTAGCATTTCAGAGGCGGGCAAAACCCCACAGGATGGGGCAGCTTATGTTACCTGGGGGTTCACAGGCAGGGTGGCCAGATTTAGCAAACACATATAGAAGATGCCCAGTTAAATTTGAGCTCCAGATAAACAATGAATCTGGTGTATTTTTTGTTTGTTTGTTTTATAAAAATTTTAAATATGTTTTTATTGATCTCAGAGAGGAAGGGAGAGGGAGAGAGAGAGAAATCAAAACATCAATGATGAGAGAGAATCATCGATCGGCTGCCTGCTGCACCCCCCACACTGGGGATCGAGCCCACAACCCGGGCATGTGCCCTAACTGGGAATCGAACCGTGACCTCTTGGTTCACAGGTCAATGCTCAACCACTGAGCCTCTCTGCTAGGCAAGGGTGTTGGTTTTCTTAAGCATAAGTATATCCCAATGACTACATGGGTTATTCTTACACTAAAAAGTTCTTCATTGTTTATCGGAAATTCAAATTTAACGTGGGGTCTGGCATTTCACCCGCAGACCTGAGTCTCCCCACGTGGAGGGCTGGAAAGGAGCTCAGTCCTAGAAAGTGGGTTCCCGCCTCTGCTCTGCACCCTCAGGAGGCGGGGAGAAAGGTGGCCTTGGGTCCCGGACTCTGGGACGTGGGGGTGGGTCCGAACCTGGGCTTGCGAAGCTGCTGCTCCAGGAAATCTCTGATGGTCTGGTCCTCACGGCTGTAGTTGACGGTCCAGTAGACGCAGAGCTGGCGGTACTGGGTGACCAGCTCCAGGACAGTGCGAAAGCCCTCGGCCATGTTGAACTGGGGGTCCTGCCCCCCCTGCTCCCAGGCATACACCGTCAGGAGTTCCAGCCCGTGCTGGGGGGGCAGAGAGCCCTTCCCCTTGGGCATCTTCTTGCACTAAGAAATGAGGAGAAAGACGATGTAGCAGTCCATACAGCAGTGAAGAGGAGCCGGCAAACCCTCCCCAAACATTTACAGAGCCCCTGCTATGCCAGATGCCTTGCCTTGCACTGTTCCATCAACTCCTGTGATATAGGAATGCCAGACCCATTGTACAGGTAAGAAAACTGAGGCCCCGCCGCTAGGAAAAACCTCCACCGACCCAGGGTTCCGGCCAGGGCTGGGCCTGCCTCCTCCCAGGAAAGAGCTCCAGAGGCAGAGCCCAGGGCCATGGGGAGGGGGCGGGGCGGGGAGGGGGGGGCGCGTCTGTGTGCCGAACCTGCCGGTACCAGTGCTTCACCAGTCGGATCAGACTCTTGAGCTTGGTGGGGCGAGCGATGACGAAGTCCCGCTGCAGCTCTGTGAAGCAGGAGGAGTACTCGCCCGGGGTGTTGTAGCTGCGGATGAGGTCCACGTAGACTTGAGGCGGGGGCCTGGAGCCAGGGGCCAGCTGGCCTGGAGACGGGGAGAAGGTGACCCTCACCTCATCGAGGGGGAACACAGATGCGGCGTGGCCCAGAGCTGAACCCCTGGTGAGGATCGGACTCCCTTTTCTGCCCCTCACACCCCACCTGCTTACCCACCGTGAAGGGAGGCTCCGGTCAGGGCTAACCTCTCCTCACCGACTCTCTGACTCTAACAAGGGAGAGGCCCCTGCAGGTGACGGAAGTGTAGGCGAGAGCTGGTGTCACCCCGGTCCCAGGGCACTTGAAGGCGTTCCCTGGTATCCCAGCTCTCGCTCTCTGAACTAAGGAACTGGACAGATTCAGAGACATCTCTGGACCAATCTCCCCCTTGCTACTTGTTTTGCAAAATGCAGACACCGGATACATTGATATGGGGTCGGGGGGATTGTCTCACTCTGCAAACTCTGCTATCCAGACTCTGAACTGAATAGATACAATGAGATTTGCATCTGTTTTGTTCGGGGATTTTCCCCCCTCTGTGCCTGGAAGTGTGCTGGGCACGTAGTAGGTGCACTTATGGATTGGACCGATTGAATGGGTCTGTGGCAGGCGGGGGAGGTGGCACACACATATTCGAAGGTGGGGATGCACTGAGACCCTTCCACGAAGACACTGGGGCTCAAGGTAGAGGAGTCCCCCGTCAAGGTCACCCAGATGCTGGTGGAACTGATGGAACGAGAAGCCAGCTCAGGGTCCTTTTCTCCAGACCCTTTGCAGGGAAGTGGTGATAAACATATACACCGACAATGCCTACGACTGAGCAGGCGCCCAGCCTCTGCCACCGTCCCTGGCGGCGCCGCCTCCGCCTTTCCCTTCTCGGGACCATGCCCGGCACCTCACCGAGGGCATCAAAGGCCGGCAGCACATCGCAGTCCACGCTCTGGTCCAGCATCGTGTGGGACGTCAGCGAGAAGCTCAGCACGCGGGGATTCTCCCACTTGGGGATGTCGAACTTCACCTCGAACTGCCGTGCCTGCTTACACGCCTCCAGCTGGGCTCGGATCTCTGAGATGACCTCGGCCCGCATGCTCCCTTGCTCGGCGAACTGGCTGAAGCAGCTGAGGAACACCACCAGGTCGGCATCGGAGCGGCCTCGCAGCGCCGTTCCCTTCCCGGAAGAGCCGCCCTGGGGAGGACATGGCAGGTGGCTGGAGCCCTCAAGTCCTGATTCATGGCCTCCTGCCCGAGCCGATGGGCTCTGGACTCTGAGTTAGGAACTTGCTGTGTGACCTTGGGCAAGTCACCTAACGTCTCTGTCTCAGATCTTTAATGGGGGTTAATATAGGGCACAGCTGTGAGGAAGAGAGATGTGCAAGACGTAAGGCGCCGTCCTCCAACTAAGGCAGACTCTCCACTGCGTCATGTTTGGGGCTGGGGGGGATGTGAGTTTTCCTTCTTTTTTTCCAGGCCTGTGGCTGGTGATCTTTTAAAAAGACTCAGGCCTGGTCCCTACGTCCCCGAGGCTGTGATGTCATTGCCCTGGGAGGGTCTTAGGCATCAGGATCTATTTTAAAAGCCTCCCTGGGATTCTAAGTGAAGCCACAGTTGAGAACCAGTGAGTCGGGCTGCTGTCCTCAGGTGCTATGGAGGAGGAAGCAGGGAACAGGGAGGGGGAGGTATTTGCCTGGGGTCACACAGCAAGTCCCCAGGCCTAGGACTTGTCACTGGCTGACTCTATGCTGATGCTCTTTCCAGAGTTGACCTGTGTCTCCCGGTGACTCCAATTGTGAACTGAACTGAGGTCATATCTGATAGAGCAGATCCTGTGACTCTTTGTCAACCCCCAGCACCCTTTCCTCCTGCTGGGATCAGCACTGGGCTTTCTTCAGGGGAATTGCTGCTCTTCCACCCCACCCAGGAGGGCTGACTCTACCATGTGACCCAGGCTTGGCCAGCCAGCACACGGTGACTCCGCAGCCCTAGTGACTGGTTAAGGGACACATCGCAAGGCCAATGAAACTCAATTCCCAGATTTCTTTGACTTTTGAGAAAAGAGAATTCCCCTTTTTAGAAGAGATGACAAGGACCATCCCATGGACAGGCCCCATCTAAGCAGAAGCAGGCTGAGCCCAAAGCTAGGAAGAAAAGCTGAGCCCTGACGATCCGGCATGGGCTCCTGGATCCAGCTGTGCCTGAAGGCAGCCTATTCCAGGCCGTCCATTCACATCAGCCAATACATTCCTTTGTTGCTTCTCTGGAGTTGGCTGCCATGAGCAACCCAAAGGAACCTCTTGGGCCTATATGGGCCCTCCCTGGGCCATCTACCCGTGACCTTGTTCCACTTTCTCTTCTATGTCTGGCCTTGTGCTGGCTGCTGCAGAGCCCACGGAAGTGGGTCAGGCCTGGTCTGGGCCCACACGAGATCACCGGCCTGCAGCCCTGGGCCCACAGCTCTCTGGAGCTCACCTTGACCACCTTGAGCACTTTGATGGGAGAGTTCTGGAAGCAGTTTTCCCTCAGGAAGGAGCAGATGGTGTCAACCGCCTTGTTCACCTGAGCCAGGAACTGGCGGTTGGGCTGGAGGAAGTCACTGATGAACTTGTCGAGGTCCCTGGCTGGGGTCTGGTACAGGAGCGTGGGCTGCAGAGAACACAGGTGGGACCAGGTGGAGAAGGACTGCCTGCGAATGCCCAGGCCCCGCCCCTTAGCTTCCTGTGAGAACGAGACTCCCATGATCTCCTATGGCTCTTTTTCTTCTGAACTGGCTGTCAGATCGCAGCATCAGAGGGACCCGAGTTCAAGTTCTGGTTCTACCACCACCACACAGCCTCAGTTTCTCCATCTTTTTAAAAAATATTTTTTTACTAATTTCAGAGAGGAAGGGAGAGAGAGAAAGAGAGAGAGAGACATCAAGGATGAGAGAGAATCATTGATCAGCTGCTTCCTGCACGCCCCACACTGGGGATCAAGCCCACAACCCGGGCATGTGCCCTGACCGGGAATCGAAGTGTGACCTCCTGGTTCATAGTCGACGCTCAACCACTGAACCACACTGGCCAGGCTTCCCCATCTCTAAATGGGGGCAAGAACGAGGCCCACGCCTGATGGATTGCCTGGATCGTGAAGCACTGGTTATGAGATTCTGCAAAATAGCAAATGCGATGGAATTCTATCCTTTGGGGAGCTGCCCATGGCTATTGTGGTAGGTGGGGTTCCCCAGAAGCAGAGCTGAGGCGGGGATTCCTGTGCATGTGATTATCCGGGACAGGGCTTGCAGAAGGGGAGCGAGGGGAGCAGGAGCAGGTGGGGGGGGGGGGGCTCAGCTGGAGAAAGCTTCCCCTCCCCCCGCCCAAAGCCAGAGCGGGCTCTGGAGCAGCAATTGCATCACTGAGTTGGTCCTGCCTTGCAACTGGGCGGGCCTTTTATGCGCATGTCACTCAAGCACTGGCTGGGATGGAACGGCCGGTGCCTTGGCTGTAAGCCATCAGCTCCCAACACTCCTAGCAGCCGGGGATGTGGCACCGGCAGGGAAGGAGGACCTGGGACCCTGGGACAGGCACCAGCAGCGTCTTCCCCCTCCGGGACCCACCTCTTACCATCACATCCCAGGGCTGCACGGGCGTCCCGTCTGCGCTCATGAAGCAGGCCTGCGTCTCCAGGGCGGCCGCTTCCTGGGCCAACAGCTCCCAGCTGCCCAGGCCCACGTTCCAGGTGGGGTCGGCGGGGTCCAGGATCAGGGGTCTGGGGCAGAGTGGGTGGGCAGGCGGGTGAGAATCCGTGAAGGAGCAAGGGGTGGGAGACCTCGGGAAGGGGTGTGGGGGCGGGGAGAGCGAGAAGACTGTCAGCACCTTAGGGTTGGTGCAATCTTGCCCACGCACGGCAGGGTCCCTGCCTGGCCACCTTGGTCTGGAAGCTATTGGGTGACCCCTTAATCTGAGACGGGGATTGTCTTGTATTAACATAAGTGGCCCTGGCTTCCTCTGGGGGTCATGTGTCCATTGCTTCCTCAGCAAAGAGTCTAGAAGGATGCAGAGCGAGGATGGGGCTGGGGCCCCCAAACCCCACCCTGGACCCCTCCTGGATGCAGTGACTCCAGGTGACAGTGGGGGGAAGGACGATAGGGCGGGAGAGGAGGTAGTGGGTGTGCACCTGGGTTTCCGAAGCTGGCCGAGGAGGTGCGTTCTGAGAGCTGGGTCCTCAGAGCTGTAGTTGACCGTCCAGAAGACACAGAGCTGCCGGTGCTGCTGGACAAGCCCCAGGACGGTCCTCAGGCCTTCGGCCGTGTTGAAGCGGTCCTTCCCGCAGCCCTGCTCCCAGGCGAAGATGGTCAGCAGCTCCAGGGCGTAGGCTGGGGGCAGGGAGGCACGGGCCGGCCGCTCTCCTTTGTTCCCGGCAGCAACCTATGTTCCCCCCAAATCAAAGAGTCAGCGGAGTGAGCACTTACTGTCCGCTGGGCACGGCCCTCCTTGGAGAAGGCGGGGAATGTAGAAAACACAACACAACACAACACAACACAACACAACACAAAGAATAGAACCTTGGGGCTGGCCTGGCGCACCCTTCCCATTTTACAGGTGAATAAACTGAGGTCCAGAGCGGGGGCAGTGACCTGTCCAAGGTCACAGAGAAGCTCAGACTTGGTCTGTGCCTAGCGTCTTTCTAACGGGAGTGGGGTCGGCGACACAGTCATCTTGGCATTTCAACACCCATAACCAGTTAGCAACGGTGGGCGGTCAGCAGATGTTGGCTGAATAAGTGAGCTGGCATTCAGAGGGTATTTGCTGCGGGGGCTCTGAAGGAAGCTCAGGAGTTAGCAGAGCTTGCAAAGGAGATGGTGATGGAGGAACAACATAAGCAAAGGCTTGAAGGTGAGAAACAGCAGGGGAAGCATCAGCAGTGTGAGGAGAGAAGGCTAGAGAGGGCGGGGGACGCCAATCACAAGGTACACGAGGATTTGGGGACTTGATGGAGAAAATGCTCCCTCAGCCGGGGGGGGGTGGGGAGGCTACCAGGGAATGAAGAAGGAGGAGGCAGTCCTTCTGGTTGGAATGGCCAATAAAACTCAAAGGAGGGGCGTTGTGTTGGGGATGAGCTGACTGGCAGAGGCAGTTGCCATGACAGCGGCGGTTTTCTGGGAGGAGCAAGGGGGTAGAGAGGCCTCACCTGGCGGTACCAGTGCTTCACCAGCAGGATCAGGTTCTTCAGCTTGGCTGGGCGGGTGTTCACGAAGTTCCTCCGCAGCTCTGCGAAGCAGGCCCTGTGCTCCCCGTCCTGGCAGCCGCTGTCCAGGAGAGTCTGGTAGATCTTGGGGTCCGGTTTGGTGCTGGCACTGAGCTGCCCTGTGGGTGTTTGAAAGATGCTGAGGATGCATTGCTCATGGAAGACAGCGGCATTTCCCAACCCAGCCGCTCACCTGCCTCTAATATGTAAACGTTAAATATATAACATTGCGGTCAACGACACACACTCTAGAGCACAGAATAACAATCAGAACTCCTAGAACTTACAGAAGTGAGAGACAAAGGCCCTGGGACTTTTAAAAAGTTAAGCTGAGGCAGCGGGTCAGGCACATCGGAAGGAAGTTGCTGGAGGATATATGTGAGCGACGGAGCAGCAGGCAGCCCCGAGAGATGGGAACATGGGAGCAATGGGATGTGGAGGATGAAGAGAGACACCACTGAATAGAGTTCCCGAAGTAGAGAACGGAGAAGACACAGGAGAAGCGATGTTTGAAGAGCTACTGGGAGGCATTTTCCCCAAACTAAAGGAAGAACCGAGTCCTCAGATTCAGTCAGCACAACAAATTCCAAAGAATATGATTGACAAGAAATCAATATGCAAACATCAGAAACTGAAGGATGCTATGGACTAAGAAAAGTCGTAAAAGCTACCAAAAAGGAAACACACACACACACACACACACACACCAACAAAGAAGTAAACAGCCGACTTCTCATCAACTATCCGGATCAGAAGACAGTAGAAACTGAGAAGAACAAATGTCCAACATTTCCTCCAAGAGGGAGGTGAGACAGAAGGTTTTCTAGACCAAGTCTGTGAAAATGTATCACTTAGAAACCCCTTCTGAGAAAGAACTACAGGATGCATTTCTGTGAGAAGGAAATGAATCCAGAGGAAGAACTGGAAATTAAGAAGCACGAGTGAGGGGGGAAAATATTTCTAATTATGTGCAGAGGTTTTAATTTACACAGGTATAAAAACAAAAGCAAAGAAAATAATCTTTCTTATTGTTAGTGTCTTGTATGTTTGTTCTAATCTATTACCAACCCCCTCAAAATGATCATATTATTAATGTTTGCTCCTTTTTTGTCTTCTAGTTTTACGTTACTTATAAAAGGTACAATTAAAATCTAATGGCATATCCTTACAAATCAAAAATGGAAAAAGGCATTTCAGGAAAACACTGCCAAGACCAGTGCGGCTCTATTAATGCCAGATCAAAGGCTTTAAGGCAAATATATATATATTTTAGAAATAATGAGGATTATTACTTGATGACAAAAGGAACAATCCAATAAAATATAATTATATTCTTACATGTTCCTTAATAACATAGCCTCAAAATATTAAACTCAAAACTTTCCAGAATTACAAGGAGAAACTGACAAATCTCTACTCAGAGCGGGAGATTCTGGGAGCCCATTCATGAACTGATAGACAAAATAAGGAAAAAATAAGTAACACAGATCTGAACACAGATCATAAGCTAACTCTAAAGGGTCTGTACAGAAGCCCGCATTCACCAACGGGAAGCATGCATTCTGTTCTGTCATGGGAAACTTAGGAAGTGCTAACAAATTCCAAAGAATTGATATTTTGGGGGTATATTTTCTGACTACAATTAAAAATAGAAAAAGAGCCTGGTGTTGCTCAGTGGTTGAGCAGCGACCTATGAACCAGGAGGTCACGGTGCAATTCCCGGTGGTGGATTCGATTCCCAGGCCAGGGCACATCCTGGGGCTGCAGGTCTGATCACCTGCCCTGGCGCTTGCGAAAGGCAATCAATCGATGTGTCTCTCTCACATTGATGTTTCTCTTTCTCTCCCCTCTCCCAACCCCTTCCTCCCATTCTCTCTAAAAATCAATGGAAAAAATACCCTCAAGTGAGGATTAACAAAAAAAAAAAAAGAAAGGAAATTACATGTAATTTCTTAAAAAAAAAAATAATCCCAAGCAGACATGGAGAACTAACTGTTAGCACTTGTGAAATCGGAATTGGAGTACACGGTCATATGATGTCTATAGTTCTCTGTGTGTTTGAAATAGTTTATAATGAAAACTTCTGTAAAGTTAAAAGCACTAAATAGTTACGAGTTGATGGTGACCATGACTGTAGGGACCGCAGAGTAGAGCCAATGCTGGATGAAGTAGGGGGATGAGTCACAGAGAGGACTGCAAGCGCCCCGTGCGATGTTCCCTGATCCCCCCCAAGGCACAGGCCGGGCACCCCTCACCCACGGCATCAAAGACCGGCAGCAGGCTCACGTCCGTCCAGCTTGCTAGGGCTGGGGACACCAGCTGGAACCGCAACGCCTCGGTCATGGTCTGCTCTGGAAAGTTCAGGGTCAGGCCGGGGACCGGATCCCGCCACCAGGATTCCAGCTGGTCCCGCATATCAGCGAGGATCTCCGCCCGCCGGGGCCCCTGGTCCTTGTAGTCCTCGAAGCAGTTGAGGAAGATGACGAGTTCGGCATCACAGCCACCCTTGAGGTCTGTGCCCCGGCCGAATGAGCCCCCCTGCAGAGAAAAGAGCTTCTCAGACTCTATTTAAGTCAGACTGGGACCCCCTAAGCCCCCCATCGGCAGCCCTGGAACTGCTCGCTCACTGATGCTGGCTCTTGGGGCACCACGACAGGTGCAGGCTGTGACCTCTGACCATCAGAGGCCCACAGAGTCAGGCTACATCTGACTATATCTGATGGCATCTGCCTTCCAGCCCACGAAGCTTGTGCAAAGTCAGACAACGTGCAGCAGCAGATAACAGGGACGGTTGGGTGGAGAGGGCAGCGGTCAAAGATTTTAGCCAAACATCTGCAGCACCTACTGACTGCACATCTGGATCACAGGTTGCAAATGGGGGTCCTGGCCCCAGAAGGGTCTGCAGATGTACTTGGCCTGTTTCAATCCTTCATTCATGCGTGCATGCATTCAACAGATATTTATTGAGCAATTACATAGATGGGTATGCGAGTGGATAAAATTACTTGTTTTCCTGGAACTTGTACCAGGAGCAGAGGGAGGGGGAGGCAGGGACAGTCAGCAAACAGTAGCCCCCCAAAAGCCCTAAGTGCGGTGTAGAGGCCAACAATAAGGGGACTGGCAGGGAGTGGAGGTTGTAATTGTAACATGAGCAGCCAGGCTCCTTGAGAAGGGGTTGGATCACAGACTTAAAGGAGGGAAGAGACCGGCCGGTGTGGCTCAGTGGTTGAGTGCCGACCTATGAACCAGGAGGTCACGGTTTGATTTCTGGTCAGGGCACATGCCTGAATTTCAGGCTTGATCCCCAGTGTGGGGTGTGCAGGAGGCAGCTGATTAATGACTTTTATCATTGAGGTTTCTATTTCTCTCTTCCTCTCCCTTCCTCTCTGAAATCAATTACACACACACACACACACACACACACACACACGAGAGGGAGAGAGCCAAGTGGATGGAGGAAGAACATTCGAGAGAGAGAAAGCAGCTGTGGGGAGGTGTGCCTGGGGAGCTCAAGAAGCAGCCACGAGGCCAGCGTGGAGTAAGTGAGGGGCAGAGAGAGACCAGGGCCAGATCCCCAAGCCTGAGGCCACTGTCCTGTCCTCTCTGAAACCTTGGAGGGGGTTTTGTGCAGAGAAGGGAAGTGATCTGATTATGGTAATAGCGGTTAAAAAAAAAACTATCATTAAAAAAAAAGCAGCTGGCTCTTATACACTAGCATATATCCCTCCCCCAGCAAACTGCCCTCCATGGCGTCCACTTCCTCTGTCCGCCCTCAGCTGTGTCTCTGTCACTCCCTCCCATCTCCACGGCGGTCCCCCCAGCGGGTCCCCTCGGTGTCTCCACCTGCCGCTCACCTTGCCAACTCTCGAGGCCTTGTGGACACAGTTCTCCCGCAGGCGGCTCAGGATGCCATCGACGGCCTTGCTCACCTGCTTCTGGAACTGGGGGCTCGGCTTGAGGTGGTCCTGGATGAAGCGGTCCAGCTCCTTGGCGGGGACCTGAGACAGACCCGGGACCCCCTCCGGTGTACAGGGGGCGATGCCGTCCACCGAGGGGCCGGGAGCTGGGCATAAGGGCCGCCTGTCCCCTGCCCTGGAGCATCCAGCATCAGCACTGCTACCGTCCATGGGGGTCCTCTGGGCAGGGTCTCGCAGGATGGGGTGGTCCACACTGGAGCGCCCAGTGCGTGGAAGGCCCTGGAAGGTTGGGGAAGGAGCTGCCTTACACACGCAGGGTTCTAGTTCCTTCTCTTGGCAGCCCCCGCCCCCACCTCAGTCAGGGTGACTGCGGCTCAGAGAGGGGAAGGGAGAGGTAGCCCGTAGGGTGCCTTGTGCAAATGAGAAGAGGTGCCCTTAGGAAGGGGACACATTATAAAAAACTCCCCCCAGGGCAGGCTAGAGGGGGTCAGTGGGGGAAAAAGGGGGACATATGTAATACTTTCAACAATGAAGATTTAATTAAAAAATAAAAGGGTCCCCCTGAGTTGGGACACTTGGTAAGCAGACAATACACGCCTGCAGTCCCCACTTTTCAGCTCCGTTCCCCACCCACGGCCTCCAGCACAGAAAGCACTGCGCACACAAGTTAGGTGTAAATGCCAAGCGTCCCAGGAGCCCCCGCACTCACGGGCCCCTCCCAGGGCTGCACAGCGCCCCCTGCCGCCTGCAGGAAACACGGGCAGTCGTAGCAGGACTCTGCCTCTTCGGCCAGCAGGTCCCAGCGCCAGGCTGCCCCGTCCCCCACGTCCCACGTGGGGTCAGCCGGGTCCAGGATCACGGGCCTGCAAATCCACAGGGACAAGAAGATTCTGGTTAGCAAGACGGCCGAAGTCAGGGGCTCTGGAGTCAGGCCGACCTGGTTCCGATCTCAGCTCTGCTGCTTTCCAGCTGTGTGACCGGAGGCAGATGACTGGCTTCTCTGGGCCTCGGTTCCCTCATCTTCAACCTGGGGATCACAGCGGCGCCTGGTCTGATGGGCCTGGTCTGAGATTAAATGAGAACTACGGCCTCAACCCCACCTGCACGTTAGAATCACAAGATACCAGGACCCAGTGTCTGCCCTGACATACGAGGCCGTGCGTCTCGGCCCTCTTCGTCAGAGCCCGAGAGTGGAAACAGCCCAGACACGCGTGATGAGCAGGATGGAAGACACACTGTGATAAACTCACACAATGAAATGCTATCCAGCAATGGAGGAGAAGGAGCCACAGCTACACGCAACCGTACGGAGAATCTTAAAGACTTAATTCTGGGAGAGAGAAGGCACACACACAAGTCCATGCTGTAATGATCACAGTCAGAAAGGGGTTCCCTGGGGGAGGGGCACAGGGGAAGCCCCTGGGGTGCTGGGATACTCTGCCTTGATCTAATGGGGGTTCCAGGTGAGCTCACTTCTTAGCAAGTCATCAGAATGTGCTATACGCTCACACACAAAACGGTGGTATGCTTTAACTCCCCCCCCCCCACCCCGCTCGGCCAGCCTGGCTCAGTGGTTGAGCATCAACCTGTGAACCAGGAGGTCATGGTTCGATTCCTCATCAGGGCCTGGATTGTCGGCTTGATCCCCAGTGTGGGGCATATAGGAGGCAGCCGATCAATGATTCTCTCTCATCATTGATGCCTCTCTCTCTCTCTCTCTCTCTCCCCTCCCCTCTCAATAAAAATATATTTTAAAAAAAACAACATCCCTTATGCCAGTGGTTCTCAACCTTGTTTATTATGGGTGGGGCCACGACATTAGTAACAAAGAAACAATTTCTGGAGGATGAGGCCCAGAAATCAGGATTTTAAAAAGATTCCCAGGTGATTCTAATGTGCAGCCAAGGTTGAGAACCACTGCCTTAAGTGATTCTACTTTGCACCTGGGGCTGAAGGCGCTGTATGAGGAAGTGCCCTGGTAGCACTTGGCTTTGACTCTCGTTAGCTATGACCTGCTTTATCATTGTTGATGCTCTCCCCAGGCACAGGCACAGGCACAGGAGAGCGGGTGCTGGGTACGAGGAGGTACCTGGGTCCCTCAAGCTGGCGCTGCAAGAACTTCTTCACTGCAGGGTCCTCGCAGCTGTAGTTGGTGGTCCAGAAAACACACAGGTGCTGGTACTGCTGGATCAGGCCCAGGACGGTGCGGAGGCCTTGGGCCAAGCTGAAGGCCTCCTTCCCACAGCCCTGCTCCCAGGCGAAGATGGTCAGCAGCTCCAGGGCGTAGGCAGGGGGCATCTCCTTCCGCCCCGCCTTCGGGCACACCTGCAAGAGGACAGGGCGTGTGTGTGTGTGGGGGGGGGGGGGCGGGAGGGCTCACAGGAGGAAGGGAGGAGGAGCTAGCTCTCTGGAGAATTTTGTAGGATCGCCCAGTCTCCGGGGTGGACACACCAGCAGGCTGAGCCTGGGACGAGGTGCTGTGTGCTAAGCCTGTTTCCAAAGCAGCCAGGTGTTGCCCACCCTCCCTCATCGCTGGGGCGTCAGCAAGGTGCTTGGGTCCTGTTGTGGTGGGGGAGGGAGAGGTCTGAGCTGCAAGCCCCCAGGAGGGGGGAGTAGCCAGGGAGGGGCCAGCGGGTGGTCGGAGATGGCTATCCCCCCAGGAAAACACAGCGAGTCCCTGGCTGAGCAGGAACTGGCCTCCAGGATCTCCTCCTTCCAGGCCTGCGTGAGGAGGAGGAGGACCAAGTGCAGGCTCAGGGCATTCCTGTGGCTGCGGTCGGAGGTGTACAGACTGCACATACTTCATACCGTTCATAAAACGCCCCAGACGGTTTCAAAGGCCTAAATATGAAAAGGAAGTGCTGCCAAAACCGGTTTGGCTCAGTGGATAGAGCGTCAGCCTGCGGATTGAAAGGTCCCAGGTTCGATTCCGGTCAAGGGCATGTACCTGGGTTGCGGGAACATCCCCAGTAGGGAGGTGTGCAGGAAGCAGCTGATCGATGTTTCTAACTCTCTATCTCTCTCCCTTCCTCTCTGTAAAAAATCAATAAAAAAAAAATATTTTTTTTTTAAAAAAGAAAGTGCTAAAATAGTTTTTTGGGAAGGAACATGGGAGAATAGTTTTAGAAAGTCAGAATAGGCAAAGGCTTCTTAAACAAGACACACAAAGCACACCTCCCATGAGACAGGGGTGAACACACCTGACTACATTAAAACACAAACATTTTCTGTGTCAAGAGATCTATAAACAAAGTGAAAGTATAAGCCACAGGTGGGGAGAATAGATTTGCACTGCTGGCGAAATAAAAACCAGCACCCACAATATATAAAGAGCTCCAACCAATCAACAACAAGAAGGCCGCTAACCCTGTAGAAAATAATGGGCAAATTACATGAACAGACCATTCCCAGAAAGAGAAACACGAATGGCTGCTAGACATAGGGAAACAGTCTCACTATCACGGAGGCACACGTCCCGTCAGGCACACGCCTGGCGCAGGACCCGCCCTGCCGGCCTCACCTGGCGGTACCAGTGCTTCACCAGCAGGATCAGGTTCTTCAGCTTGGTCGGCCGGGTGTTCACGAAGTTCCTCCGCAGCTCGGCGAAGCAGGCCGCGTGCTCGCCCTTCTGGCAGCCGCTTTGGAGGAGGGCGGCGTAGACCTGGGGCTTGGGTTTGACACTGGAGCTGAGCTGACCTGTGAGTGAGGAAGGGAGCTGAGGACCCGGGATGAAGGGCAGTGCTGGTGTGGGCTCAGCTGGGGGCGCTGGGGGAGAGTGAGGAGGATCTGAGGGGCGGGGTTTGCTTGCATGGGCGCTGGAGGATGAGGAAGAGAGCCTGGAGGCCTCAGGGAGCCAGAGAGGAAAAGAAAGCTCTGGACCAGAAGCGAGGGTTCCTGCTCCCAAATGGCCAGGCGCCCCCAGAGGTCGTCGGAAGAAGTGCAGCCTCATTCCCAGGTTAGTAGGGAAGAAGCTTCCTGCTGAGTCGGCTGTTCTGTAACCTGGCAATCCTTCCCTCCCCGCGGCTGCCCGCAGGCCATACTAAAATACCACTGCACAGGCCTTTAATTAATCGGTGCCCTGCGAAGAGGAAATGATGCCGGAGAAATACAAGGCAAGAGGTTCTGATTCCTTAGCAGTAATTGCTAATATGTTTTGAGCACTTACCACAGGCCCGGCACTGTGCTGAAAGTTTCACACCAACCCCCTCATTGTATCCCCACTCAAAGCCGGCAGTTCTCCACCTCTCTTACAGCTGGCGAAACTGAGGCACAAAGACACTCAGCGATACAGCTGGAGGTAGGATGGGAAGGCAGAGCCAGCTCTACAGTATCTCCTGGGCCAGGCTCGGGAAACGTAAACACTCCCCAGAACTTCCTAGGTCCCTGACGTCATTTACTTGCTGTGTGACATCGGATGAGTCACTGTACGTCTCTGTGCCTTAGGGTCCCCACTGGTAAAATGGAAGATGAGACAGTGCAGACCTCATAGGTTTGTTTTGAGGAGGAATGAGACAAAACATGTCAAGTGCTTGGAATAGTGAAGCATTTAATAAGGAGTAGCTATTATGATGGTGGGTATTTAGGTGTGGGAGAGTGTGGCTGTCCGCCAGGTCAGCAGAACCCTGGATAAACTCAAGACAGCTATCTCCCAGAGCATCATGGTAAATAAAGAAGAAGAAGAAGATGATGATGATAATAACAGAAACAATAATAAGAATAGAAATAAGAATAGCAAGCACTCATATAGCCCTATCACGTACCAGGCACTGCTCTGAGTTCATTACGTATATTAACGCATAAAGTCTTTCCAGAACAAATTACTATTGTCCTGTAATTACTATCTGCATTTCGCAGATGCATATTATTATATTAAATCAAGCGTGGGTTTATTACAAAAGGGAGTGAAGAATCCCATTGATGCTTTTAAGATAAAAGATGAGATTTTGCAGAATTCTGGCCTTGTCCCCAGACCCCTGCTGCCGGGCATGTGCCCACCTGCCTTCTCCTCCGGGGTGTCTATGGAAGGGCTGAGCTGCGCTGCAGGAGGCAGTGGCTGAAGGAAACTCTACCCAGTTGTTGGAGCGAGGACCACAGATCCAGGAGGAATGGGCCTTCTTGGCCCTTGTCTGGTCCAAACCCAGTATGTTTAGTCAAGACACTGAAGCCCATGCCCAGCCAGCGTGGCTCCGTGGGTGAGCATCGACCTATGAACCAGGAGGTCACGGTTCCGTTCATGGTCAGGGCGCATGCCTGGGTTGTGGGCTTGATCCCCAGTAGGGGGGTGTGCAGCCGATCAGTGATTCTCTCTCATCATCAATGTTTCTGTCTCTCTCCCTCTCCCTTCCTCTCTGAAACCAATTTTAAAAATATACTTAAAAAAAGAAAAGAAAGAAACAGAAGCCCAGAGAGGGTGGCCCAGGTCACACAGCAAGTTGGTGGCAGGACTTGAACTGTTGGCTCTGACTTACTCCTAATGGTCTTGCCCCAACCCCAGGGCATCTTGCCCACTCACCCAGAGCGTCAAAGGCGGGCACCAAGCTAACGTCCATCCAGTTTTCAAGGTCTGTGGATGCCAGTCGGAACTGGAGGGCCCCGGGCGTGTCCTGTTTAAGGAACTCAAGGCTCAGACCAGGGACCGGCTTCTGCCACCAGGATCCCAGCAGCACCCTCATCTCCTTGAGGATCTCTGTCCGCAGAGCCCGCTGGTCCTCATAGCTCTTGAAGCAGTCAAGGAAGACGACAAGTTCAGAATCACAGCCACCCCTCAGAGCTGTGCCCCGGCCAGAGGAGCCTCCCTATGAAGAAAAAAACAAACCTCAGAATTCTGCACCCTCCAATCCTAGTGCCCAGGGGCTGGCAGGGTGAGTGAGGCAAGTGGGCTGGGTGGGGACTGTGGCCACAGGGCTCCTGGCCTCCAAAGCCCCAGCACCGCCGGCTGCTCTGAGGCCAGCTCGCACCTGCTTTCATCTCTCCCCTGATAAGCTCCAGGTGCCCCTCTATGCCCCCCAGGTTTCCTGGGTCCACCCGGCACCCCTGGAGTTTGTCTTGAGGACACAGTAGGTGGCACTTGTCTCCTCCCCGAGTCTGTGGGCGTCCTGAGCTCAGAGTCAGCGTGACAAAAAGTGACCCCGGCTCAGTGTCCCCATCCATTAAACAGGGACAATTGCCCTGACCGGTTTGGCTCAGTGGATAGAGCATCGGCCTAGGGACTAAAGGGTCCCAGGTTCGATTCCGGTCAAGGGCATGTGCCTTGGTTGCGGGCACATCCTCAGTGGGGGGTATGCAAGAGGCAGTGGATCGATGTTTCTCTCTCATTGATGTTTCTAACTCGCTATCCCTCTCCCTTCCTCTCTGTAAAAAAAATCAATAAAATATATTTTTAAAAAACCCCCAAAAAACAGGGACAATAATCTCCACCAGACTAAATGGGAGGATTATATGAGATAAGACTAATGAGACAATGCTCATTGTTATTCGGTGATTCCTCAGTAAATGGGGCTGTTCTAGCTGTTCTAGAGAATTATCATATCTGCATCCTTAGGGGCAGGCCTAGTGAGGTCCATGGTCTATTTGAGTGGATGTGTGAGTGAAGAATGAGTGAATGAATGAGTGAGTGAATGAATGAGTGAGTGAATGAATGAATGAATGAATAAGAGGCAGCCCTTGGCAGCATAGATCCAGGAATCAGACTTCCTGACTTTGAATCCTGACTGGACTTCTTACAGGCGAGGATATGTTACTTCGGCTCCCCGTGCCTCAGTTTCCCCATCTGTCAAGGGGGGTAAAGAGTACCTCCCTCGCAGAGCTGTTGTGAGCAGCAGTCTATGTTCAGGCCCCTGTGAACGCCCGGAGCGAGTAAATGTGCTAAGTGATAAAATGAATGGAAAGACTGATAACGCCCCCCCCCCCCCCCCCCCCCCTATTTCAATGGCGGGTGAAGGCCCACCTTTGGGATTTTCCGCACCCCCCACGGGGGG